TCTTTTTCTGCCCACATATGTATAATTTTTCTGGGATTTTGTTTTGAAAACCTCTCTTTGAATCTGTAATCATCCTCTATGTATTTATCTCGTGTTTTGAATTCATTCAAGGTTGTCTTAAAAATTTTGACGGCACATTCCTTGGGTATAACACAGTTTCTTCCAGCTCCACCATCAGCATGAAAAATGACAGCCTCCTTGCCAGTGCTGACAACACCATTCACTCTGTCCAATACCGCTTGATTCACGAGGCGATACAGCAGCAAACGGGTATGGGTATCAACACACATTTCTGCTGTTGCTTGTTCAGTCTTGTCATGTAAACGATGCCTTCGGGATTCTTCACTGCGTGAGTAGACTTTCAAGCTGTTGAACACTTTATTGGATAGCTGCATATCAAACCCACCACCATCTCCTGTCTGAAACTCTGGAGGGAATTCCATTACCCGACATGCATTTCGGCGACTGGACATAGTCATATCATGTTTGGTTACCATTTCTTCACCTTGTTTCCTATATCCACATTTAGGCATGGATTTGAAAGCCTTCTCAGTACTCACAAAACTGTCCCAGTCTCGATGTTTATCATCTATGTCATCTTCTGAATCACTGTCATATACTAGATTTTCTGGGATGACACGATAATTTGAATATGATATACAAACTTTCGATGAACCATTATATTTATCTTCTGTCTTCTTGAGCAGGTCGTCATATTCTTTATCAAACTGAACTTGTAACATTTGTGCAATCATGTAGTCACTATCACAACCTGGAGCACATTCTATGATCGGTAACGGTTCAGGTTCCACCACCAAGTCTTTATTATAACGTTCTTCTTCTCTGATTTGCAAGTCTTTGGCCAGTTCTTCGGACATAATATCTGCCAAACAAACTGGTTCTGAAGGTTGCTGCAGCTTTCCCCATGGTGAGACGGGAACTTTTGCTGTCGCTCCGGAATCCATAATAACGGGTCCTGATTCTGTGAAACTAAATTTTCCTCCTGCGGATGAATTACAAATTTGTTCCAACCTATGTCAGAAATTTGCGCAATGATTTCAACTTCCTCTCCCCCCCCCATCACATAACTTCCAACCCTTTCCCCCTCCCTCATATCCAAACAACGTTATTCATATATTGAAAAGCTGTGACGTATATTAAACTACTGAGGAAGTATTATACTTATAAATCATAGTAACATTGATGTAACTGAGTTCTCTGGGTATATTACAAAAAATTGAGTATCTGAGAAAGAATAACTGGCCGTTGAAACCAGTGACATAATAATATATAGTACATTTAGAACATTAGCTTTGTTTTGATTAACAAAATTCTTTTCGTCACCGTCATGGCAGACGGTCTGCAGGGTTGCCAATAGATCTGATCATTTTCAAATACACCTTTACAGCACACCAGCACGTTCTTCAGTAGATTATATTTTACTCCTTTAATTCATGTTAATACATATATAGCTCTAATATTATATAGTTTTATTTTTCGCTTTTGTTTTATGGTGAATATTTCCGAATATATAGGGAAATTCATTTTTATTGTCTATGCTTGGTATGCGCAAGTGCATTATGGGTAAAACTAGTCAGCGCTACCGTCGATAGCTCAGAAAGGTGGAACTAATCAGAAGTGTGGGTTGTGGTGGTTTGATCCGTGGCTTGTGTGTACAAGAGGGAAGTGTGTGGAGTGACAATGGCATGTAACGTGTATGAGTTCGTGAACAGCTGATTATTATTATTATTATTATTATTATTATTATTATTATTATTATTATTAAATGTAAAGCTATCCCTGTAACAGGCTGTGGAGGGTCATAGGGTTCTGAGACGTCGAGGCTCCCACATTTTTTACACAACTGGTGTGAAGATGGCGGTGAGGTTTTCAGTCTTACGCGCCGGCCGCCCTTTAACCCCAGGAAGATTTCTGACACTCATTTCTGTTAGAGACTGAGTCGACCCCAGGGCCATACTTCGGCTGGAAGGGTTAGGGGAATCGAAAAAATTCCATGACCTCATTGGGAATTGAAACCGTGACCTTCGTGCTTGTAGCATAGTGCCTCAACCAATACAATATCGCGTGATTATTATTATTAGGAGTATTAGATAATTTTGCTGTTCGGATTTTATAGAAAATAAAAATATATCTTCGAACTGATTCTAATATGATCATTCAAAATCTGTACACAGAAATGTTGCCTCATGTTGCTGCTTTGTTTACTGAATTTTTAGCCCAAACAGCGCGACCTGTTCCTCTCACTTCCTCTCTTAGTGTTGTTACACTTTTTTCAAGTATAATATGAGACAGGCTGATGATAGTGGCAGCATGGTCTAAGGCATGGACTGTCTTCGCCCGTTAAAACACTGGGGTCATGGGTTCGAAACCCACTCCAAACATGGATATTTGTGTGTGCGTTTATTCTGTGTTTGTGTTGTTCTGTGTGTAGGTACAGGCCTCGCGACGCACTGACCCCCTTTCGAAGAAGTCCCACCGACTGTATACAGGTTAAAAGACTGAAAAAGCTGCCAAGGCCCAACAAAGACTGCAGAGCCATAATAGAATGTGAGATGTACTGCGTTACATTGTATAGATCCAACCCCCATACGCCTCCATAATGTAGCGCTTAATTACTGAAGCACAGCGACAACTTTACCTTGTTTTTATATGGAGTTACATTAGTAAACAAAAGTTTTGCTCACTCAAATAATGAACTTGTTTTCAAATTGTGTAAGAAGTGCGTTCAGTTATCTTACATAAAAACTGTGTCAGAAATTTCTAATCGCCACGTTTGCGACATGCCTACTTGATTCATTCATAAAGGGTTTATTCCGTACAGAACTATTAGGCTTATTTTGGACTCTATCCATCGTCTGGTATATAGAACACAAAACCTACAACGTTTCGGAGACTGGATCTGTCTCCGTCCTCAGGAGGATGGGGCAAGATAAACCTACTCAGTTGGGACCGTTTATTCCGTATGCGTTACGGAAAAGTTACAAATCTGCTGGCTATGATATTATCAGAA